ATGAAATAACCATGGACCTTGTAACACACAAGCATACAGAAATACCGCAGTAAAACTTTCTTTGTATTAAGAATATAATTGAAGAATCTTTTACAATCTGCTCAACTCAGAGTTACACAAACCCACTACCCAAGTGTTTTGTTCCTAAATCTATTCTTAACTACCCAAGCTCTAAGTTTAGAATATCCTACAACAACCTATCACAGATTTGTTCTACCCAGAGTTACGCAAACCCACTACCCAAGTGTTTTGCTCCTGAAGCTATTCCTAAACTACCCAAGCTTGTAACCAGCAACAGCTGATTCACCTTTTCGCTTACCAAGTTACAACTCTCTTATAACCTTGAGCTTCAGGACCTCTCTGTTTTTCTATTCGAAAGGCCAACTAGAAAAGAAAGCTCCCTGCTTCTCTTTAATAGTCCAGTCCAGCAGACAGCTACAGTGCTAAACACCGACAGCAACAGTATCCCAAACGCCTGACACCTTTATCCAAAGGGCAAGTCCACCATCTCCCTGATGATGACTTGTGCAGTTTCTACCTTCTCTTCAGCAGAGTTCCCAACTACTTCCTGCTGACATCCCATCTGCTCAACTGTTGAAACCCACTCATCTCTTGTTGGGCTCGAGATGCCAGCTCACCAGTTGACTTTTCTTCACCAGCTACAAGCTTCCTCGCTCAAGCTGAGTAACATAGAACATAACCAGTTTCTCAGGTTCTTTCACCGTCCATAATAAAAAAACTCGTGATATCGCCGAAACTTTGGCAAGCCTTACTATTGAGTTGTTAACTTTGCGAGCAACTAAAAGTACTGGAGAAATAAAAATGGAGAGAAGTGGATGGAGGGACCCAAGATATATATATCCCCTCCAAACCCAAATATCGAACGACCTAACCGATGCGATGGCGAGACTGTGGAGTACTCTAGAACGTCCAGATGGCAATAGAGAACCTTTTGGAGGGGAGGTCCTAGCAGCTTGTCCAACAGAAGGAGGTCCCTCACATATCATCACCATCTTTGAGTTGATGAGCCCTCTAAGCATGGAGACAGAGAGTTCTTACCCGAACATGGAGAATAAGGAATCACCTCCATAGAGCCATATGACCCTTTTAACTCATCATATAAATGTTGAAAAACTCTAAAAGTTATCTAAAAGTTAATTCATCCCTTTAACTCAAAATTTATAGGACTACAACAAAATCTAAATTATTCTTCCTTTAATATGTTATAAATAGTAAAAGAAAATTATTCTAAATGGTCCCTAATTTATAACCATAAAAAATGCAATTTAGACAAATAAGACAATTTCTATATCATATCTATCGTTAGATTTGTAGTTAATATATATTTTTATTTTTTCTCACATGAAAATT